AAGACAATTCATCCAACTTAAAGTAAAACTCAAGAGAATATTCTAAACTTAAACTTAAATGCATCAAACACAGGGACACCCAATTTCAAAAAAGAAACACTATTAGATCTAAAAAAAATCACATACTGACTTCAATATCCCACTCTCACCATTCAGACAAAACTAAATATAGAAACCCTGGAGTTAAATGACATCATAAATCAAGTGGACCTGATAGTCATTTAAAAAAATCCACTGAAACAGGAAAGAAAACACTTTCTTCGAGAGCTAAGATGCATCTCTTTCTAAACTGGCTGTAAATTTTTAGGTTTACAGTTGAATTGATAGTTTTACAATATTGTACTCCGTATAACCCCTATGAGACATAAAATTAAATGAGGTTGTGTGCTCTCCTTGTCTGACACAGAAGTGCCCCCTTAGTTCCCCTTCATGCCTCACATGAGGGGCCTTCCTAACGCCAGTCTTTTCTTTCTTCTTGTGGCTATTTCCTGTTTCCTACCCCTGTCTACTCTGTTGTATCTTGTTCCTATTTAACAAACACTTACATGACAGTTACTGAGTATTTGTAAGTGACTCACTGCATGTTTCATTTTTTTTTGTTTAGATTTATTTTGTTTCGTTTTGTTTTCGATATGTAGCCCAGGCTGGCCTTGACCTTGCAATCCCTCTGCCTCAGCTTACTGAGTGTTGGAATTATTTCTCCTAAGCCAATATGAGCATTGACCCACTTTATTGGCTAGTTCTTGCTTTCTTGTTCACAGGGAGATAATCGGCATGCTCTGTTTTTGCATCCCGTTTTGAGCCTGTCGTGATCAGCCTTGTAACTCTGTCACTCCCAAGGGCATCAAATCCCATGGAACTGGAGTTACAGATGGAAGTTAGCTGCCGGATGGCTCCTGGGAACTGAACCCAGGTCCTCTGCAAGAGCATTCAGGGCTTTTAACTGTTGAGCCATCTCTCCAGCCCCAGCCCCACTATTTTTAAAAACTAACTTGACTAAGCATCTCTCTCTCTCCTCTCTCTCCAAGCATCCTCTTTTCCTGGATCCTGTCTTGAGACCTCCACCCTCACAGTTGCCCTACTGAGGCACCTCAAATCCCCTTCCCTGTCCCTCTAGTCCATGGGTTTCTAGGTCTGGTCACGTCTATCATCTACCTGTCTTTCACTCTTACCTTTCCAACCTCACACCGAGGTCTCCCTCTGCTCTTTAAAGTTTTAATCTGGATGATTACAGCAGCTTCCTGCCTTGCTAGTTTTCCTGATTCCACTCTCCTATCTTATCCATGTCCCCCAAAGCAACAGGGACAAACCTTGTGCTGGGCTTAGTGTCTCTGGGGTTTCAGGATGGCCCTCCTATGCTGAGCATGATCCTCAAAGCTTCGGTGACCCAGCCCTACCAGTGCCCGGCATCTAATTGGTTGTCATCGGCACCTGCCATTCACATAGCAGATTTGCTGGAGTTGCTTTGGCATCTATTGTCTTGCATAAATCCCATCTCTATCACTAACGGTTGCTCATCCTTTAAGACAGTAAAGCCACCATCCTCCCAGTACTCTGCCCATCAGCCTCATTTCTCCCTGAGACTTTCTAGAATACTCTGGTGACTGTATCTCAGTCCCAAGTCTGTCCAGAGGATAATTCTCCTTGGAGGTTGACCGAACTATATTCGCCTTTCCCACTGGTTTGGTGTAGGTGTTTCACATGTACACATGCTTATATAGTGCAATAATGTTTATGTAAATGTGGAGAGTGAGAGAGAGCTGGAGGAAGACGCCCCCTCAGGTGTTCTGATGCTCCAGCCTGGAGTGTTGGGAACTGGAGGTTGGGAACTGG